AGCTGCCAAGGAGGCGAGGAGTGGTGGGGAGAGGAGCTTCCCCGCTGACGTTAATGTGGGAGGCGGCGGGAGGGGTTCAAGGTGCACCGGGTTCCTGCAGGGCTGGCCGCCTGGTGTGTCCCACCGCTCCCCGGGTTCGAGGGGCTGGCGGCGTCCCTGCCTGTACAGCGTCCCCGGTAGGACAGACATGCGCCCTTTGGTCAGCTCGGAGAAGGCTGGGGACAGCTCAGGAACGCACCCTTTTGCCCCAAAAGCAAGAGAAGATACATCACTCGCCCCGCAGCCGCACTGCAGCCGTTGGGAAGGACCATGTGCACACCGCTCCCCGCTGGGCTGGGTGCCGGGCGGATCCTGCCGCAGGCGCCTCTCGAGGGCTCAGTTTGGTGCCAGCCTTTCGTTTTCCCTCTGGCCGCGTCTCCTTCCTGTCCTTCCCGCAGACCCGGGCTCAGGGCCGCAGGGAGGGACGGCTCTGCCCAGGGGCAGCGCCTCAGCAGGGAGGGGAGGGAAGAGACGTTTATGGGAATGAAAGTGCTGGGATGCTGGAGCGGCTTCCTCCCAAAGGGCTGCCCAGGGGGACCCTGGCTGAGTTCATTGCAGCTCCGTCCCCGGAGTCACTCACCTTTGGTGGCTCCTGGGTGCTGTGCGGGGATGGCCCCGGTAGCTTCTGATTCGGGGAAGGCCGTCCTTGGCCAGTGGCTGCTTCGCGCGTGAATGGGAACATGAGTGCCCACGCCAGGCGCACAGGCCGTGGCCACGACAGCTGCCCGGAGGCCGCTGACGCCGAGAGACCGGACTGCACTGCGCTCGGGCCCCCCTTTAACGCTGTTCAGTCAGAGCAGATCGCTCCTTGTGTGGTGAAGGCCGTTTGCTCAGCCTCCTGAGGCCACTGGGCCCTGCAGACCCTGGTTCCCGCCCCTTCCTGCCGCCCGGCTTCCCGCGGGCTCCCGCCCAGGGCTTCGGGGCTGTCACGAGGTGCACAGTCATGTTTTGGCATTTTTATTGGATTCATAATGTAAAACACTAAATTGGGGTTTGTTAAACCAGCCAGAAGTTGAAAGAATCACAATCTATATCTTATACAGAAACCTCAACATGGTCTTTTTTCTTTAATTCTTTATTGTTTAAAGTTGTTTTTTTTTAAAATATATTTTATTGATTTTTTACAGAGAGGAAGGGAGAGAGATAGAGAGTTAGAAACATCGATGAGAGAGAGACATCGATCAGCTGCCTCCTGCACATCTCCCATTGGGGATGTGCCCGCAACCCAGGTACATGGCCCTTGACCAGAATCGAACCTGGGACCTTTCAGTCCGCAGGCCGACGCTCTATCCACTGAGCCAAACCGGTTTCGGCTATTGTTTAAAGTTTTACATAAGTCTCCTTTTTCCCCCATTGACTTTGCCCTGGCACTCCCCAGCTCATGCCCTCATGATAAGTCCTTTATCCATTTTGAGTTTATTTTTGTGTATGGTGTAAGTTGGTGGTCTAGTTTCATTTTTTTGCATGTATCTGTCCAATTTTCCCAACACCATTTATTGAAGAGACTGTCTTGATTCCGTTGTATGCTCTTGCCTCCTCTGTCAAATATTAATTGAGCATAATGGCTTGGGTCCATTTCTGGGTTCTCTGTTCGGTTTCATTGGTCTGTATGTCTGTTCTTGTGCCAGTGCCAGGCAGTTTTGAGAGCTGTGGCTTTGGAACACAGCTTGATACCTGGGACTGTGATCCCTCCAGTGTGGTTCTTCACCAGGGTCTTTTTTGAACAATGATCTTAATATTGAAGCACAGCAAGATTAAAACATTTTCTAAGCAAAAATTTAAAACTAATAGGGAATGCCCAGCGCTTCAAGTACTAATAGCCCAGGGTTTCCCAGGGTTTTTGTCATCCCTCTTACCTCTGAGTGGTAATGGTAGCCTCCCTCTGGCATATCCCGACTCTCAGATCAAAATAGAGGCTTCAAGGGAACCCACCGCATCTTGTGCTCTCGGCCCTTTGCCCTGAGAAGGAAGGTGCGCGTGTGCCTTTGTTCTTAAAAGAATTCCCGGAAGTGAAGGGACAGTGATGCATCAGGGAAAGGCCCTGTTCCTCATCACTCAGCAGGCTTTTGGGTGCCCGTGTGCTCAGGTCCTGTGCTGGGCCCTGGCGAGGCAGCGGCCACTCGTTAGAAGGGCAGGCAATCGGACTAACAGCGCAGATGCTGTGAAAGCCGTGGCCAGGGGCTGGGGCTCCCGGCCGTGGGAGGGACGGATTCTGTGGGAATTGTCCCGCGAGGAGGGCAGGGGCCTGGGGGAGGGCAGGCAGGGGCCTG